ATTACAGAGACGTCTTTCTGAGGCTCCTTGAATCTGGCTTCATCTTTAATAACCTGAGCAAAACTTTCTCAGCTGATCTTATTGTAAATTTATTCAAGCTACATTCAAGAATGTGCAACAAAAAGAGGAAGGACAATTGGTCTTGTACAAACTTACTGTAAGGAACTGGCAAGTACTTGGCAGCAAGTAGCTGTCCAACACCTCTATTGCTCTGTTAACCAAGATCTCTGGAGGACTGAATACATCCCAACTTGCTTTGGTACAGATCCCCTTCTATTATGGATAAGATAGAAGCATGAATTACAAACTTTTAGGAGCCCATGCAAGTTCCCCTGTTCAGTGCTAGATATGCAGGTTAAAAGTTAGAGGTTTGGTTTGTTTGGTTGCTGTTGTTGTTGTTGTTGGGGGTTTTGTTGTTTTTTGTTTGGTTTGGTTTTGGGTTTTTTTTTCTCAGCTTCCTGGTCTGATTTGGAGTAATTAAAAAAATTAACCTGTGCCTCAGTTATCCAGGAATGAAAAAGCTATAGGAACTTTTCTTCTCTCACAAACAAGTTCATAAAATAAAATCCACTAATGGCTTTCAAGCATTCCGACACCAGAGCAATCAGGATGCTAATTTTTCTACAGGAGCATCTTCTGTACTCCTCGGCATCGTTATCTGTGGCTCAGATGTTTGTTTTCAGACAAGGCTTTATGCCAAGAATTTATCCTGTTCTAAATAGAAATCCTGATAGCTTGTTCTCTCCCTCCTGTCTTCTCCAGCATGAATGCTATTCTATTTGTTTAATGGGGTTAATATGCTGCTGGTATAATAATGATCATGTATGGATGTAATTATTATGTGTGATTAATTCTGCAGCTGCTGAAAAACTTGGAGGACTTTCCTTAGGCAAGGGAATATCTTCACAATAGTCCTCAAATTGCATTACACACAGACATAAACCGCAAAAGAAACGCAGAAGGGGAAAGAATGAAGTACGGAGTAGAGGAGAGAGAACTGCACTCAGCAAAGCAGCTGATGAAGGTTAAACACCATGTGAACAGAGACCATCACTCTGTTGCATGTTTATACACTGACTAGCACAAATGATTCCTGGTCTGTCACTGCAGTCCCAAGGTACCATGCACATAGCATGTAACCGGTTATAATTTTTTTTAAGATATGTCTGCCGGTGGTGTAGGTTTCTCTTGTTATAATTGTCATTTTATAATAATTAACATCCTTTAAACTAACACACTGGGTTTTGTTCTAAGAAGATACAATAACACAGACCAAAATATGACCCCTGCATAATGCTAGCATAGGTTAATGATTTTTACAAGAACCAAAGAGAATGAGGTGCACAGTATACAACCCATTAGAACTAAAATACAGAGTGTCCACGCCTGACAAAACCATAGATGTTTTCCTGCATAAGGCTTTTTGGCACACACTAATAATTTACAGTCCAATGTTGCAGCCATACTCTTGAGTGCTCTTAAGTGCTCTGAGTGATAATGGATCTATTTGTGTGATCAGATATTACAGACCTAGGCCTATAACTCAGCATGCTCCCAAAACAATACCTGGACACTTATCCTTGACCAGACTATCCTTAAATTCCACATATGTGACCTGAAGAGAAGACACTGCCTACAAGATTTAAGTCTCCAAGCTGTCCACCTGTTTTCTAATCCAGTTATTACTCATATAATCACCCATGACTTTTATGTTTACCTTACCCAGTTTAAAGGTTTAAGTGAAGGAGAAGATACGCGCAGGAAAAACTGAGATGTGCACTATCTTCCTTTTCTTCTCCAGAAAACCATCTGGTTTAGCCTCTGCTGTCTTTAACACCTAGAATCACCAATGCTCCAGCCCAGATCCTTCTGTACACAGTGAAATCCCTGTGCAAGGATGCCAAGCAGTGAGCACACACACTGTAGGAGATTCTGAGCTCACCTATGCAGGACTGCAGGTATCAGATGAGAAGATCAAGGTGGGCAAAAAGCACAGCTGGAGAATTTGCTGCTGTGCATGACTCTCATGGCATTCCCCATAGCTGCAGCTGTCAGCAGCAGACAATACTAAAGACACTGGGCTGCAATAGGACCACATATGGGTACTGTACAGGCTCTGTACATGAAGGGCTAGGAATGGAGACGGATTCTGCCCATTGACTTCTCTCAGTCGTACCATAAATGGCTGCCCTGAACAGCAGTATGTGCTTGGTATTTCAGTGTCCTGAAGCACTGTTATATTTGAAATCCCCATGATACTTTCAAGAAATAAATCACTCCCTCTGAGCCCCAAACAACAGAACTGCAGATAGGATATATTTGAGAAAACACAGAGGCTATTTGCTCACCTTCCAGAAAGGGAGATAGCAGCTTTAGTTTTCACCCAGAGAAGCACTTATTGAGCATCTCATTCAGCCACCAGCATGTTTCAAACAGTAATGATTGGACCTCACAGCACTCCTTTGCAGTATCTGCAGGAGTTATCAGTGAAATGCTACTCAAGCATCTGAGACAAGGGCTGGTTTTCTTCTTTCTAACTTCTTTCAGTTTCTGCTTCACTGGGTTTTCCTTTTCTCACCACACTATTGGGAACTTTATAGGAGCAGAAGAATAATGCTGAACGCAGAAGCAACAATGTGACTTGGAATAAAAGAAGCAGGTTGTGATAGGTTCAGAATTCACCTGTAATCATTTATGAGTTTCTGTGTTTTACCTATAAACTGATTTAATGGTAAGAGATACTGGTCTGACAATGCTGAAGTTGACCTGGATACAGAAAGGATGCAAAGAAACTCAAGACAGCCTTAACAGTGAAGACTGAAGAATTGTTATGAAGCGATGCCAGGACTGTTAGTTTGGATGGTTGACAGAAGTTATTGTCCAGCTTATCAAACCAATTAGACTAGGCTTATCTGAATTCCTGCAAACACAAAAATGGAAAATTCAGGCAGAATCTAAATCAAAAAGTCCCTCAAGGAATGTATCATTTTCCCATATACTGCTCCTGTTCTTATCAACACAGAATGCATCCCAGGTTTAAAGTTGCTGCCAACCAAACTACTGCACTTCTGTACACCCACCAGCTAAGAAGCTGAATGGGATGTCTAATCAAGGCAGCTAAACTTTCCCGTGATGAAAGCTAACATGTACACACATGGCTAACCTGCCAAATGCTATCCCACCAGAGGCCCAGGACAGACACAACTCACCAGCACTCATAGACAATGAGTTACAGGGCTGCTCACCTTACTGTAACACATGGAGCTACACAACATGCACCCAGAAAGACATTTGTTAGAAGGATACCAAAACCTGTGAATAATTTAGACATGATATTGCAGGTAAGAAGCTGGAAGGCAATTATTTCAGTTCTATACAGCGAAGACATTCAATTTATGGGAAAAAAGTGGGCACTACATACACCTGACCCAGCCAGACACAAGACAACTTGTGCAGGGCCTGATTTAAGAACAGAAGTGCTGCATAATCCACATCTTCAGGCAGCTAAGAGACAAAACCCCAATACCACAGGTAGATACATGAAAACATGCCAGAAAAAAAAAAACAAAAATTTTGTAGTAAATTAACCTGGAGCTGTATTTGGACTACTTGAATTTCATTTCTGAGAATAAAACTTTAGGATGTATCTCCACTGCAGCATATATAAATGCAGGTGAGCTTGCTTGCTACAGCATGTGCTAAGACCTTTGTCTTAGTCAGCCTTTGCTTTTAATTACTAAAAAGGTGCCAACTTGAAACCTTTTAGTAAAACATGTTCTTGCAAACAAGACCATGTCTTTAACTCACATGGACACCTATGTTGCCACAGCTAATGCAAGACTTGCAAAGGCTATGCAGACTGGGGTCATGTTTTTTTTACTGCTGCATACACTTGCCCTTAATTCTCAAGGGCCTGACTGGTGACAGATTATTTATGTAATATACTTAAGTATAGTTGAGTGGAAACTTAAGTTTTCACATCCATATATTGAAATATTACATAAATATTTTGTTAGCTCTGGGCCAAAATGCACAGTATCTTGCAAAAGCAACCTTGGCATTTTGCAAGTTGGAGATAAGTCAAATCCAATGAAGGCAAGGGACTGTCAAAGGTTACTACCTGTGACAGGCAGGCAAGCACATCACAGAAAGCGAACACATGAACAAACAGGAAAATATTGTTTCACATAGCCATTAGCTGCTGATTTCAGACAGGAGGCAAATGAACAATATAAGATGAATACAGCACTGCCATTCAACCCCTAAATGAGAGACCCCAGCAACAATGCAGGTAACACCATGTACTACGGCTGCACGACTTCATCTATATCATGGACATTAGTACCACTATCTTTGTCAGGGAGTAACTACAGCTCAGGCACTAACTAAACCTCCTGTAACACAGTTTCCATTTTTTTCCTTTAGGCACTGCAGGAAGACGACTCAACTGCTGCAACCCAGAAGAACAACTTTCAAAACTCCTTTCTGCAGAAAATTTTCTTTTGTGGCAGCAGAGAATTCCCAGCAGCACAATCCCAAAGGGCCCCAAGCACCAGATCACCTAGCCCTCAGCAGCACAGCAAGGGGACTAAACAAAGTATAGCCCTGGGAAACACTTAATGGCACTAGGCAGGGCCTCTGTAGGTCACATGGTAACATATAATCGCTTGAAAAGTGCTTCTTTCTTTTTATGGATCTGCTGAAAATTGCTTTGTTCTTTAGGTATAATAGCACTTCTGCCATAATCAGATCTTGTCAAGGTATATGCAATAAAAGAGACATTCAAGTATTACTGTCCCATCAGCTGTGTCTTCATGATTGCCTCCAATTACACAGTAAAATTTACCGGCACACGTATTTGAAATAATGCTTTTAATTTTCAATCAGATGTTCTGCAAGGAAGCCTACCTCAGCAATGACATAATTGAGTATCTTGAGGAAGAAAATCAAAAGCAAATTTTGACTCAATGGTGTTACTTAATAGCAGTGAAAGTACTTACCAGGTGGCCTATTAATGGCGAGGTTTCGGAAATGACTGCCTTTGATCACCTCCACTGACAGCCGCCCTGTAGTGGCATTGTATGACAATCCCACGAGCAGCTCTGGCACTCCTCCATGCGACAGGGACTGTGTTGAAGAAGCACTATCGCTGTGAGAGATTGCTGACAGACTAAGTTGAGAGTCTGCACTCTGCAGGGAAAGAGCACTGAAAGACTGATCAGGACATTCACCACCACCCTCCCTTAATTTATATCTTTTACCCTTGTTTAGTAAGATCTTTCTTAAGAAATAACAATGACTAAGAATGAATTATGATGGAGCTCCAGCAGAATCAGAGCATCACTTTTACAAAAACACACCTCTGAACTTGCTCCTTAAAGATGAGGAACTCTGAGTAAGGTGTTATCACTAGTGTAAATCAAAGCCTCTGAGATAAGTATACATCGTACTACATCAAATGCACAGTAAATCTCTCTGACAATGTCTTTTGGATGGAATGCATTTTGCAGTTTGGGGTTTTCGGGTCATGTACAGTGAATTTTCTTTCTTTCTTTCTTTGTTACTATGATGCTCTCTCTAACCCACCCTACCCCCTCTGCCACCTTCAGATGGAAAATACACAGTTTATTGATTTCATGTGCACCACCTCCCACTGAGCTTTTCTTAGACAATGAATCATGACAGAGCTCATCTATACAAATTGATTGGCAGAGCCAGAGCAAGATATAACTGTGATGTGCATGGAAGACTATAAAGCAGCACAACCAGTTCTTCCTCACATGACCCACCTTTTCACTTCCAACTGTCATGAAAAGGAACATTACTAGGCATTTCTGATAACATGGAAACTGCACAACACAGAAATCCACAAGGTAGTTGTTAGTGCCAAATGAGGTAGTTCTTGCCGTGGTAGTAGTACAGATCCACCCACATAACAGTGCACAAAAAATTACTGTCCTTGTTAAAATTAAGACATAATTAGCCTTGGTGGTTCCAGAACCAGCCTATTATTTCTGAATGACACAGCATTTGATGATGTGTTTATATGTAGTACCTCTACACGATTTTGTTTAAGCTTACTAGCTGAGCCATTGTTAATAACACACAGTTTTGTGCGGGGAAGATATGTCCTTACTGATAAATTTTTCAAGTGACAGTAGGACAGACCCACCAGTCTAACCCTAAGAGCTCTGAATGAAAGGTGTCAGCACAGCTGGTCCCCATTCACCAGGTGAACAATTTTACAGAGTCCATGTTTCTTCCATCAAACTTACACTCAAGTTACTCCTTGGCTCCAAGACCAATGTCACTTTTGTTTCCCCTTCCTGGCTGATGTTGCTCAGGCGGAACAACTGCTCTCCCATCATCTTCTCTCCAATCATCTTATGCACCGCATAGAGCCGGAAACGAATGCCATGGCTGCTTAACTCCTCTGGCTCCAGCTTACTGAAGGTAATTTTATCCTTGAACTTGGGGATCGGTCCCCTCTGAACACTTGTCTTACCCCTCTGTTTCTTGCTAGGCATCAGCACTGTGTGCACTTGCCAGGTGTTCACTCCACTGCGGTCTTTGTCTGGGATATCCCTTGCTTCTAAAACAGTAACTACTAACTTTTGACTTGAGGCCTTATAGTTGAAGAGGATGTCTATATCACCACATTTACAGATGGGCTCATGAGCACTATGATGAGCTGGTATACTATTTACTTCAGTATGTTCCTGCAAAGAGAAGGAAGAAGTCAAAGCCCGATTGAAGTTCAACTGCTTCTGTGATCCCTACTCTATTTAAAGACATTGTTCTCCTCACTTGTGCTTGCTCTGCAAAATAAGGATCCCACTGTTTCTAGAAAGGCCAGAGATAGTTAATTGCCTCATTTTGTGTACTATTCCTCACACAATCTAGTAAGGAACAGCACTTGTTGAAGCATTTCCAAAGAAAAGTTTCATCAATATTTAAATGCTTTGCAAGAGACTTAATTTGGCAAAAATTCTAGAAAAAAATAAAAAAACCCCAAAACAAACCAAAACCCCCCTCAGTTTTGAGATATTAATAATTAAACCTGAGATATCTAGGTTTAGTTTGATTAACACCCCTCCCCCCAACTTCATCTATTACTTCGAACATACACTGGAATTCTTTCAAAACTGATTTTTTTCCATTACCAAAATCAAACAATTCAGTCAAATCTGCTAACTTTTTAGATATTTGTTCAGCTGGAAATTAAAACAAAAATTAAGCACTGCTTTTGAGTTGAAGGGAGGGGAAACCAAGACATCAGAATTTCTTGCAGAATAGAAATTCCATTTCTAGATGCTGCCCTATAACTCAATAGCTTTTCTACAGCTAAAGCAACAATAATCAAAAAAAACAGTCTGATTAAATATATATTTACTCTTTATTCTCTTTTTTAAATCTCCCAAAAAAAAACATACGTTCCTTCAGTTCAGATACTAATACATTTGGAATAAAAATTCAAAATAAACAACCAAAACATGCTGAAACCAATTTGCACACAATCTTTTATCTACTTTTCAAACAAAAACCATCTTGATAAAACAAGATAAAAAGCACGGATGCTCACCTTACCTTTTGATGAGTAGGCGTGTGCATTTCTGTTCAAAAGTACTTTTTTATCTTAGAGCTAGAATCTGCTTCATGTGATAAAGTGGTTGCTATAGTGATCAATGACTTGTATTTAAACATGAGTATACACTGTACTAGGGAAATTTCAGTTAATAGCCAGAAGGTGAATTAAGGCCTGTCACTAGCAGTCTGAGTCATCCTCCTCCTCAAACATTTATCTTCTTTCACATTTCAAGTAACACTTCTTTTCAACATCTTATTGTTTAGAGTACAGATCAGGAATCTTATTGTTAAGAGTACAGATGATGGGCCACAGGACTTCTGACGTAATTCCCTTCACAAGTGTCTAGGGTGGCATGTCTCTCAAACAAGACCTTGGACAAACCTCAAAAATTTTATCTACTTGCTGTCAATCTACTTTTTGAGTGCTCAGATTCATCTGCCATGATGTGCAATGCTCCAGCTTTTCATATGTGCTTAAGATTCATACATATGAATACAAAAGTCCATGCATGCATATTAGTGATGGAGACCTGCTGCCATATGACTTGAGGAAGCGATGTCCAATGAAGAAAAATCACTGCTTGGATAGCACACAGAATTACTTGGTTGCCCATAAAAATGCCTTTCTGCATGAACAGCAGGCTGCAAAGAAAAAATGCAAGGCAGGCCAGCTTGCATGCAGAGAATGTGATGTTATGTAAATGCTAAGTGCTGCTGTTTAGCTGTCAAGTTATTTCTGTCTGGCTGATGAAATAGTATCTAAGAAGGAAACGTAACGGGATTGCACTTGACTCATGTTCCACATGTTCATCCCTCCCCACTTTCATCTGTGCATTTGCTATTGAGAAGATGGAATCAAGGCACATTTAAGAACTGCTGCTAAAGTGAGGAGATAACTGAGCCTGCAGCATAACTTTGCTTTCATCAACATGCCTGAACTGGAGAATGCAAATTCATCATAAACCCACAGGTACAAAGACTGAAGAGCACTTTCTTGCCCTGCCCCAACAGGGCTGAGTATCTCATCTCCTGGCAGCATGTAGAGTAGACTGAAGGTCAGTTATCATCTGGCTTTTGACAGAAAAACTAGAAAGAATCTGGATTTCAGGAAATTTCGGTATGTACTACTATAGCTCTGGCCACATCCACTGCAGAGAAAACTGCATGAACTGGAGGCAGAGAGGGAAAGAGAAATGACAGATTCTGTGGCACTGACCTTTCTGTGGGCAACTAAGCTTTAGAGGCACCACGGGCTGGTCCTGTCAGACTATTTGGGACTCACCCCTGTACAGGTTTTCAGAACATGAAGCTTACAGATGCTCTATCATCTTTCTGTGGAAGTCATTTACAGCATTCCCCTCAGCTTTCAGAGCTGGGCTGGGGCTGTCCTTTCATGAACATATCAGTTATACAGCCATTTAAACTGGAATACAAGGAAAGTGTGGGTTTCAGGTATGTCATCCAAATTTCTTTCTTCCTCTTTTCTCAGCACAGCTGTTGAGAGGTCAAGCCAAGTATACAGATTGATACTCTAACCCAGTTGTCCAGTACAGCCAATATTCGCTTCACGAGGTAAAATAAGTAAATATCTGCCAGAGAAACCTGAAAGAGTTCCATGGACAAGGCTTAAAATAGTACTTGTGGTTGCACTGCAGGGGCATAAAATTATCATTTTGTTTCTAAAGAGAGGTCCTTTGAGTGGAGCGTAACAGTGCTTGGACATTTGTGGCATGTCAGAACATTTAGTTCCTGCAATAAAGTCTTTCATTAATCCACGCAATACCTTTGAATGAGAAGCTGCTTGTAGAACATAAACTGGGACTTAGTCATACCTTCCCCCTGATTCTATAATCATTCTTTGCATTTTTAAAATGTAGATACCAGGAGCAAAACAAGAAACGTATTCCAAAGAAATACAAGAGGACACTGGAGACACTGCAGCACATGTAAACCATAGCAATGTACATCAAATGTTGAAAAGGAGAAATGAGCCTCAGAAGGGCAGACAAACAGTGCATGTCAGAGGCACACAGCAAAGAGAGGACAGGGCTGCCGGCGCACGGAGTTCCCATGAGTAGCGTGGTATTTTGGGGAACTGGATTGTACAGCAGATCAAAATTTGTTCAAAACTCGTCTTAGGGCTGCATCAGGAACTGCCTTCCATCTCTTTAACTTGCTGCAGACAGCATGCTCTGAGGAAAAGAACCTTTCCCTCAAAGCCTTGCTGCTCAGACTTTGATGGCGGTATTCAGTCCACAGCTGAAGAACAGTCCCTTATAACTCAGGCTGAAGATGTGACCTTTGTGCTGTTCTTTTAATATATCTGATACAGGCTGATTTTTATTTTTATTTTTTTGAGAAATTTAATCTTGTGGTAAAGTAATAATGAAAACCCACACATGACACTGAAAAAATAGGAGAGAAAAGGGAGATGCTAATTCATCAAGCGTTTACAATATCTTAAAACCTGTAATGTTTTCTTACATCTTCAAATTATAGGTGCAGAGCTAAGGAAAAGTAGAGGAGCCCCAACCTCAGGCTCTCTCCTTCCCTGGAAGGATGCCTAGTATCAATGGGGACCAGAGTTTTCATCACTTGGCTACGTCATATGGGCCACCCTCACCAGCTGCCTTCGGCTTTCCAGACGCTTCCACTGCCTAAGCCATAGAAACTACCTGGAAAAATAGGCACAGGTCTGACCCAGCGACCACACACCAGGTCCCTAGACACTCACCCTGCACATACAGCCAATAACAAAGACCTAGGCCGCTACAGAGTGCTCTTTGCTAAATGATAGTAAGTGCTGTCAGACAGCTAATGGCTCCAATTTCAATTCAGAGATTGCAGTCAGAAATCAATTCAGTCTCTCTGAATGACTGTTAGTAGCAAGAGGTAAAATACCAGAAAAAGGGAAAACATGTAGAGAGGAGCGTATGTTCATGCACACATGCACAGGGAAGTACCACTACCTTATTCTGTGCTGACCAATTTTTCATTTCATTTCTCCTCTAATATTTTTTGGTCCCCAGTACCCTTTGAAAGCTTACACTGTGTGTAATACATGACAATTCACCATACCTTGGGGCTCCAAGGCAATGAGCTGCCAGTAGCATCATTTACTTCAAATCCCTGGTTGATATCCACTTCCAAATGTTCTTCTGTGGTTTGCCGCCTAATGGCATCAGCAATACTGGCCTCCATTCTAGGCTCTTTATGCTGCCCCATGCCCCCACTCTCGGTTGTTGCTCTTGAATCAGCAGATAAATGGTCATCTTCACCACAGGATAGATTGTCTTGGTAACTCAGTTGGCTTGGTCCATCCAGACCTAATAATTTTCAAAATAAAATAATTTCAGAGGGATTAGAAGAAATTCCTCTCTCTCCACCTCCCAAAATGTGCTTTTCTCTCTTTTCCTTTCTTTTGCACTTATCTCCAGTGCATGCAAGACAGTTGCTAACTCTGAGTACTGCAGCACTGAACTTATAAAATATCATAGCCTGTATAAATCACTCAGTGGAGTGGACACGGCTGCTTCTCACCCCATCCTGAACTGAGAAACCGTCTGCCTTTACTTGAAGAAGTTAACCAACAAATGTAATTATCAATTGAGTTTTGGGGATATTGAATTAACCAACAAATGTAATTACCAATTGAGTTTTGGGGATATTGAAGTGCCTTGGGACTGCCTTGCAGCCCCAAAGCAACTGTTTCCATGAAAACACAGGTGAGACAAAAACCAGAAAGGCACAGCACAGGCCTGATGAACAGGTATCAGCAATCTGCTTCTATGCAGGAGGATAAAGAGGAGGAAACGACAGGAGTTAGCGTTGCCCCAGGCGGGTGGTGCTGGTAGGAAAAGGAGTTTTTTAACAAGGTGCCACCACAACCCTACTGCCCATCCCTGGGAACTTGGGAGCACATGACCAGTCCCACAAGCCAACTAGGAATCCCCAAACCCCATACCGGGGCTAAATTGTCTAGAGAGACTGAGGGGAGATGTGTTCCCTCATTTCTTGCCTGCTTTCATTAGTTAAAAGTTATCTGATCCTACACACTTCCTCCATGGGCTAAAGTAAGGTTTATCAATGAGAACAAAATCGTTTTCTCTGGTTAGAGTACAGTATCCTCTTTCCCACAAAAGTCGCTACTGTGAACACAGAGCATTTACTTGAAGGTATCAGCAACAGCTCTCTGGGTGGAGTGACACAGATAATTACATGTGCAGGGACACAGATGAAAAAAAATCATGATTTGGCCTTGAATGTGTTCTGCAAGAACTTTCAGAAGAAAAACAGGGACATTCCCCTCCTTATGCATCTGCTGCCAGGCCTTGCTTTTGCTTTGTCTCCCCTTCTTTCAAATAAGCAAGGAGCATTTACAGTGAAAGAAAATAAGTTGTGCTCCCAGACTGCTGACGATACTAATGACAACAGGATGCCTTCCTTTGCAAACACAACTATTAGTGGTTTAGAGTGGATGAGATTGGAAGGAACCTCTGGAGGTCATCTTGTCCACCCCCAACCCAAGCAGGGCCACCTGCTTGCTTGTCCTCAAACCTGCAGGTTTGTTCTCAAGAAGGCCATCATTACAGAACAATCATATTTTTCCAATTCGGTCTCCAACTCTCATCTTTAAAAATAATATTAAATACTGTGTTTAACAGAAAATTAGTCATTTGCTTTAGTTTAGATGAATCCATGTTTTCATTCCCAGCTGATAAATGATACAGGGAACCTGGTGACAACTGACACGGAGAAAGCTGAGGTACTTAAAAACTTCTTTGCCTCAGTTTTCACTGGCAATTGCTTGTTCCGTATCTCTCGAGTTCCTGAAACTCAAAGCAGGGAGTAGAGGAATGAAGTCCCACCCATCACAGAAGATGATCAGGTTTGAGATCCTCTGAGGGACAAGTCATAGAATAGAATCATAGAATAGTTAGGGCTTGAAAGGACCTTAAGATCATCAAGTTCCAACCCCCCTGCCATGGCCAGGGACACCTCACACTAAACCATATTACCCAAGGCTCTGTCCAGCCTGGCCTTGAACACCGACAGGGATGCAGCATTCACAGCCTCCCTGGGCAACCCATTCCAGTTCCTCACCACCCTAACAGGAAAGAAATTCTTCCTTATATCCAATCTAAACTTCCCCTGTTTAAGTTTTAACCCATTACCCCTTGTCCTATCACTACAGTCCCTAATGAAGAGTTCCCCCCCCAGCATCCTCATAGGCCCCCTTCAGATACTGGAAGGCTGCTATGAGGTCTCCATGCAGCCTTCTCTTCTCCAGTCTGAACAGCCCCAGCTTTCTCAGCCTATCTTCATATGGGAGGTGCTCCAGTCCCCTGATCATTCTCGTGGCCCTCCTCTGGACTTGTTCCAACAGTTCCATGTCCTTTTTATTTTGAGGGCACCAGAACTGCACACAATACTCCAAGTGAGGTCTCACGAGAGCAGAATAAAGGGGGAGGATCACCTCCTTCGACCTGCTGGTCACACTCCTTTTGATGCAGCCCAGGATACAGATGGCTTTCTGGGCTGCAAGCGCACACTGAAGCTGGCTCATGTTCATTTTCTCATCGACCAGCACCCCCAAGTCCTTCTCCGCAGGGCTGCTCTGAATCTCTTCTCTGCCCAGCCTGTAGCTGTGTCTGGGATTGCTCCGACCCAGGTGTAGGACCTTGCACTTGGCATGGTTAAACTTCATGAGGTTGGCATCAGCCCACCTCACAAGCGTGTCAAGGTCCCTCTGGATGGCATTCCTTCCCTCCAGCGTATCAACCGAACCACACAGCTTGGTGTCATCGGCAAACTTACTGAGGGTGCACTCAATCCCACTGTCCATGTCAGTGACGAAAATGTTAAACAAGACCCGTTCCAACACCGATCCCTGAGGGACACCACTCCTTACTGGTCTCCAGCTGGACATTGAGCCGTTGACCACAACTCTTTGTGTGTGGCAAAGTCCATGGGATGTGATGAGATGCATCCCAGGGTTATGAGGGAATCAGTTGATGTAGTTGCTAAGCTGCTGTCCATTATACTTGGAAAGTCATGCCAGTCAGGTGAAGACATCCAGTGACCAAAAAAAGGGGAAATTCACACTCATTCTTTAAAAGGGTAAAAAGCAGGACCCTGGGAACTACCAGTCAGCCTCATCTCTGTGCCCAGTAGGGTCACGGAACAGGTCTTTCCTGGAAGATGTCCAGGAACACGGATGACAGAAAGGTGATTAGACACAGCCAATATGGCATCAAAAAAGGCAAACCCTACCTGAGTAATCTGGTGGCCACCTGTGCAGGACTGACTGCATTGGTGGATGCAAGAAGACCAAAAGATACCATCCAACTTCTGTAAGGTCTTTGACATGGCCCTACACAATATCCTCAATGTCCAATCAGAGATCAGCAAATGTGGAGTACCTCAGCAGTCTATACTGAGATTAGTACTGTTCAGAATCTTTACTAATGACATAGAGGGATTGAGTGCACCTTCAACAAGTTTGCAGATAACATCAAGCTGAGTGGCACACTTGATGAACTTGAGGGAAGGAATGCCATCCAGAGGTACTTCGACAGGCATTAGAAGCTGGCCAATATCAACCTCATGAAGTTAAACAAGGCCAAGTACAAAATCCCACGTATGGGTCAGTATCAGTACAGTACAGGCTGGAGGATGAAGGGATTAAGAGCAGACCTGCAGAAACCTCAGCAGTAAATATAATGTTTCTGATTCATACCCGCTCCACAAAAAAGAGAAGGGAAAAAACAAAACAAAACAAAAAAAAACCCCAAACAAACAAACAAACAAAAACAAACCCCAAAGGCCCCAACCCAAAACAACAAAGGGAATGGGGATTATACACAGGAAATGTTTCCTGGAAGTGTGCAGAAATCCCTGCCCCCCTTGACTGCTCTTTCAATTTAACAGCTCAGAGATTAGGAGAATAACTTTATCCCCTTTTTTCACATCCTCCCTCCCAGTAAAATGCATCAAGCATGGGCACTTCAACAGAGAAGTCTGAGAGCACCTCGCAGCTTTGTAATTAAGTGTACATATTACATATGTAATTATGGTCCTCTTCTGAGACATGGGAGATGATCCTTCATGAGGAAAAAGGAATCCAAATTCAGATCTCCTTGTGCTCTTCTCACTCCCTTCTGAACTGCAAAGCCCCCCTCTTCTCCTCCTCATGCTTCCCTGGCAGACCTAGTACTGAAACTGAGAGCCCTCATTGTCTCAACACTGCCATGAGCTGAAACTCTTGAGTAAAGGCAGAAAGCAATTTGATTTTTTTTGTATTACTCCCATTCTTCTCTACAAAATCAGAAAATAGAAAGAAGTAAACACAAGAACGTAAGCAAGAAATAAAATAACAGAAATTTCACAAATTTACTGAGACTGAATGGGTACAGGCACTCCTTAAGGCATTTAATTAGCAAGCCAATGTCTAATACACATTTTAAACAGCAGTTCATCCATCAAAGCACACAGCACACAGCAGGCTTTCAGAATAAAATGCTACTGTAGTAAGAAATTATCCTCACACGATTGTCTTGTGGTTTTGACTCCTGCTGGGATAATATCTAGATCAATAATAGAGGAATTTACAAAAACTACATTAAAGCCATAAAAGGCTATTCATAACAGGAGAACTCCAGAAACATATTAATAGAGCAAGCCATCTCCCTAAGACTTGGGCACAAAATGTGTTAGGAAAGCAAATGTAGTATTCAGGGAAAGGAACAGAAAAGGTGATTCACCAAAACCATTCAGTGAAACAGTTTTTTCTTTAAAGTTGAAGTAGTTTGGTAAGAGATAATCACTTACAAGTATCAGTATTATAGGATCATTACAGGTAATAACCCAACTATACAGGCTAGAACAACTACACCTCTCCAATTACATCCATTCTGACATTATATTCACCAAAAAAATGGTGAAAACAAAAGTTCTTCATGTAAAGGAAAAGGTCAGAGCAGTAAAATGCCTGTAATTTACCTGAGAGATCTTTAAGGAATAAAATGTCAAATGTCTTATGTATACCTGACATGAATAAACAGTACAGTATCAGGAATACACATTGAGACAGCATTACCTAACTATTTCAAATTTAATTAGCTAGAAGTCCCCACAGAGCAATAGCAGTCAATTCTAAAATTAAGGGTAGATAGTACTTTATACTAAAAGAATGTGGTTTTTTTTTTTTTTTTTTTCTCAGTCCTGCCTCCCAGGCTTTCCCTGTTGTGTCACATGTTTCCACAGGCCAGGAAGGAGGCAAGGGGAATACTGAGGAACAGAAATCACAAATCAGGAAAGTCTGCAT